GGCAGGAAAATAATAAAAGATAATAATATATTGACTAAAATGCAGGTTGGTGACTAACTCCAGAGAAAAGGAAGAAGTTATGAAGACAAAGGGACAAATGACAGGGAGTGGGACTTCTGAAGAACTAGTAGAGTCTTTATTTTGTCCTGGATGGTGCTTATGTAGGTGATTGATTAATAATGGTTAAAATATATGTAAATTTTTAAAATACATTTTTACTTAAAATTTGTTTTTTCCTTATTTTATAATATAGCTACTTGGAAATTTTGAAGTGAGCTAAAAATCAGAATATGCATATACATATGTATATATATTTAACTATGAGAATATGAACATTATACTTTCCTTCATTATTCAGGAAACCGGGACCTAGGGACATCAGTGGTTTTCAAATGTTTCTACTCACTGGCAGGCCAGCCAACTTGGATCAAGTTTTCCTTAGTTTAAGGAGAATTGAGCAAAATAGATATGATATATGTAGGTATATAAGGAGGGAAGTTTACTTTCTTGGTAGAGAATGTCTTTAATACTGAGATTGTATCCTTCTTACATTTTGGGGTATTTTTATTTTTCTTTAGCCAGTTTCTATTTAATGTCCTTCTTAAAAACAAAAAGAGAATAGGTCAGTTGTCCTTCTCCTTTAATAAGTCACTTAGGAACCAGAGTCTATGAATCTCTAATCTACACATACCAGTGAAGTGATTCAGTGCTTATTTTCATGGTAAGATTGGGTTTGATAAAAAATGTGACTTAGATAGTGTTATGAACAAAATGTTTGTGTTCCCCTAAAACTTATATGTTGAAATACTAAAACCTTGTTGGTGTTAGAAGAAGGGATCTCTGGGAAGTGGTTAGGTCATAAAGATGGAAACTTCATGAATGGGGTTAGTGCCTTTACATGAAGAGACATGAAAGTTTGCGCTCTCACTTTTTACTTTCTGCCAAGTGATGATAAAATGAAAAGAACCAAGTGCAAACCAGGAAGCAGCCTTTGCTAGACACAAAATACAACAGTGTGTTGATCTTGGACTTCCCAACCTCCAGAACTGTGACAAATAAATTTCTGTTTTAAACCACCTGTGTTTTGTATTTTGTTATAATAGTCCTAATTGAACAAGATAGGTATGAACTGAAAAATACGTTCACTGAGAAATAAAATTAGCAGAACAAGGAATGTGGGATCAGGAATAACATTTTGTGAAGACATTGTATTAAATGTGAAAACAGTAAGGGTAAGAAAGATGGAGGCTTTGGGAAACTTCATATGAAAATGCAGAAGGTTAACCCTCTGGCACCCCAAATGGATGGATGGCTTCATTTTCAGGATAAGTGTCCTGGAACAACATTTTATGCTGTTTATGAACACATTCTTTTCTGAAGCCTGTGCGTGATGATGTTCTTTGAATTAATATATTATCTCATCTATAAATGTCTGAATCAATACAAGTATAAAACTAATATAGTGTAATAATATGCCATAATTCTGGTATCATGAAAATGACACCAGAAGTAATAAATAAGGACTTCCAAAAAATGTTAATGAATTTCTTCTAGAAATCAAGTCTATTGTCAATTTACAACAATTCTGAACATTGAACTACAGGCATTCAATTTGCCAGCTAACTTGCAAGGTTTGCCTACAATCTATTCTATAGTATATATTATATACTACAGAATATAATAGAATATAGTGTAATAATATGTTATTATTATATTATAGTCTCCATATAATATAGAATATTGCATATTATTCTCTATATAACATATTATGCAACATTCTAGATATAATATATTAATATATATTATTAATTTTATAACTTTATAAAATATTAATTATACACTATATACTTAATGTGTAATATATAATTATATACAGACTACAGAATATAATATAGAATATACAACATAGTGTAATATTATGCTATAATTATATGATAATCGATTGTATATATTATATGGTATAATTATATACTATAGAACATAACATTATAATAAAGTATATTACAGTAAGGTATAATAATTATTTTGTGTTCATGTTATATAATGTCAAAAATATATATTTATTTATATGGTCATTATATATAAAGTTATATATATATTTAGACATACATAGACATATACAGAGATAATACATATTATGTATATATGTTTTATATATATATATAGAGAGAGAGAGAGAGAGAGAGAATCTCTCTCTGTCATCTAGGCTGGAGTGCAGTGTTTACAATCACAACTCACTGCAACCTGGAGCTCCTGGGCTCAAGTAATCTCCCCACGTCAGCCTCCCAAGTAGCTAGGACTAAAGACATGAACCACTGTGCCCAAATAATTTCTTATTTTTTTGTTATAGAGATACGGTCTCACTATGTTGTCCAGGCTGATCTCGAACTCCTGGCCTCAAGTGACCCTCCCTTCTCGGCCTCCCACAATGCTAGGATTACAGACATGTGCTACCCATGCCCTGCCTTTTTGGTTTTTTAACTAATTAATTTCATTTCTTACTAATTCTGTTGGCAGATAATATCACTATTCCCATTTTACAGGTGAAGATTCTGAAACTCAAAGAATTGGGTAACATTGTCAGCTACTAAGTGGCAAAAATAGAATTATATCCCTGTGGCCCAACTTCAAAACTCTACTCTGGCTACTTTGCTGCTTTGCCTCACCACTGAATTAACATTCAAAGATCATTCATTTAAAGATTAAAATACCATTTATTCCTTTAAACCACATTCTGAACTCACTCAGGCAGCAGCTTTTATTTGACCCCTCGAAGGAGAAAGCATGAACTTTTTTTCCAGAAGCACAGTTAATAACACCAGGACATGTCTAAGGGGGTGCAAGAGAAATTTAGAAACTTGAACATAAATCTTTTCAGAATAAAACCACAGCAACTTTAATCAAGACCTGGCAATCATTGTATCATTTCTCTAAGACTGGAACTGGTAAATGTGGGTTATCCCACTAGGCCTTTAATACTTTTTTAGAAATGATTCCAAGAAGTTGACTAGCAAGACAATTCATGCAGTACAAACACGAATCTGTAATTCTTTTCCCCATTACCACAAAACACAGTTAGTTTCCGCCCTGAATTCACTTTGAAGACAATGAATGCCTGGGATAAACCATAAGAACACTGAAAATGGCACCAGAAGTAATAAATAAGGACTGCTAAAAAAATGTTAATGAATTTCTTCTACAAGTCAAGTCTATTGTCAATTTACGACAATTCTGAATGTTGAACTGGAAGCATGCAATTAGCGAGCTAACTTGCAAGGTTTGCCTGCAATCTAAAATGGAGTTTTCTTTTACCTGTATAAAATTCAGCTGCTGATAATTATATCTCCTGGTACGAGAAGATTGAAAAATAAAATTAAAATAAACCAAATGCTCTAATAGGGAATCTAATCTCTCCCATTAGCCCACACGTTCACATGAACTCTCCTCCCAGTGGAATTCTTGTCACTCAGCAGGATGAAGATCATCTTCTCAGCAGTCAAACTCAGCAAGGCCAGCGACTCTCCTTGCTTCCTGACTTCCCCCTCAGAACTCATTCAAAAGGAAGACAAAGGACCTGCAAGTGGATGGGAGTTGTTTTGTGCCTGGCCCTTGGGGATACTTTATTTTTCTTAAAAAGATTATCTCAACCTTATGTAGCCAAAAATAAAAACAAAACTCTAAAACAAATTTCTGAGGCATTTTAAATTAAAAGTACAAAGGACTGAGAAATATTTTTAATTTATTCATAATTAGTTTACAGATCGGACAGCACTGAGACTCCAAAATCAGCAAGCCACTTGGGGATAAAGGCTATTGCAATTATCAGAAGCAAGCCAAATGCTACCTTTTGTTCTGACTAAAATCTTCTTTAAAAAAAATCTCTTCACAAATGATTTTCTATTTTCTATTTAAAGAGGATTACATAGCAAACACAACTAGTGGCTGGAAAGCAACGAACTTCCCATCGTTTTATTACCTGCCAAATATAAATTAGTTCATTGTGGTTAACTCCCGCCAGGCGACCTCTTTCCTTGTCGTCCATCAGGCCAATGGGCTGTGGCAGGTTGGATCCTGCCCGGAGTCCTTCCTAATCAGGAGGCTGTCAGATATGTTGCCTGCCCACTGTCTTCTACATCTTGTGGCAGCTCTTGTGTTTGGGCAGCAAGGTTCTGAGCTTGAATTGCCCCAGTAACTAGCTCCGAATTGCTCTTACTTACTATCACTGTCAAATCTCTGTAGACACATGTAAGGCCTTCCTCCAGGTACCATGAAGAAACACTACAAATTTCACTTTGCAATAACTACAGGATACAGAAATTGTATTAGCTCCATTAGATGGAGTCATAGAAATAGTCGGAAAGGTTAGCTGGATATAGTGAATGTCACAGTTAGACTAAGATAAAAAATCACTTTGTTAACTTAGAGTGTTTCTCCATTGGTAGCACTCTATATTAAGGTGCCATTTATAAACAGTTTATGATTATTTATTAATGTCTGAAGCACTTTATAGCATGCTAGATAGCAACTTAAATTCATGTATTAAAGATGCACATACATGGTTTAATACAATTTACGTCTTATAATATTCTTTAAAACAGTTTCCCATAGTATCATCTGTTAAGCATTTATTACTAATGCATTTTATAACATACTTTATAATACATTATTTGAGCAAGTAGCTGCATTTAGTGATCATTTCATAAATAAGAATAAAGCATTTATAAATGGCACCTTAATTTAAAGCGTTACCTTTACATTACTACATAGCTGCTTACCATTCATCTCATTTTGTGATTATTCTCCAGATGCACCACTTAATAAAACAGACACTAAGTTCTATTTTCCCTTCATCTGATTAAAAGTTTATTGAGTCATTTCCTCCATCTGCTTTCAGATGTTGGTAGCTTGGAGCCTTTAGTGTGATTTCTGATACAACCAAACTTTTAATTCAACAATATTTCTGAAAAGATGATTACAAATAGAAACAGAAAATTATTTACCATACTGGACAGAGCCTGTTGCTTGGGTTCTTTGTAAAATTCAATTTTTCGACTAGAAAGAACAATCCAGGAAGTAGACCAGTTTTTCCTTAGGGAAAAATAAGAAGGAGAAAACATTATTAGTTGCAGAAATTATTTACAGATACAGTATAAGTAACATTTGGAATGTGAAGAGGCCATCTTTATTTGTAACTAGTCTTCCTCAAAGTCTTCTCTTTATTCAAATCTATAGGTGGTATGGAATTTGGTAATAATAAAGATGCTCTGCAATCATTTAAAAGCATGACATTTACCATGAAATTTCTCAATTTATAGATCCTCCTAAAATCTTTTTTAACTACTAAAAATCCAATTTTGTGGCATCCATGTACTTCCTTCTCACAGAGTTTATGGTTTTACAGCAAAGTAAAAGTAGGAATCAGAACCCCTTTCTTCATTATGTCTTCTCTTTATTGGTTTGGTATATTTCAGAGTCTGAAAAACTAACTAGCCCATGTGTCATTTCTTAATACAAAATATTTTTACAACTTTTTAATAACAATATTATAATTATAATTTTTATAATGAATCTTACTAGAAATCAAATAAATGCAAATAAAAAGTGACATGACTTTCCCTTCTTTACTCATCAAGTTGTCAAGGACTGAAAGGAATGATGATAGTGTTCATGAGGGTCAGAAAAGGGTTCTCTCACACACGCTTGGTGGGAGTAAGCTGAATATATACTTCTGGAGTGCAATTTGACAATATGTTTTCAGGAAACTTTAAAAATGTGTATATCCTTTGGCTAACCATGTTCATTATTATAAATTTAAATTTATTTCGAGTAAATAGTCTCACAAGTTGTTAAGGCTGTGTACCATTATTGTTAATTCTGCACCTAAAACATCAAAAATAGATTGGTTAAGTAAATTGCTTATAATTTATATAATTCATGTAGAAGAATACTGACGAGGGAAGATCTTAATGAAGACTATAATACAATACGTAGTTTATAACACCACGGTGAGTGATTTACCTGAGACTGTCTTCACCAAACCACGATTCTTCTGATTATTAGTTCCATTCATCAGAAGTCAAAATACTGCTTCCTCAAAAGTGACAATCATGACTTCCTCACATATCACCTACAATAAACTTATGTTTTTATATATTTTACCTCTATCTCTCCCATTAATAAATAAGCCCCCAGATGATAGAAATTACTTCATCTTGCAGGTATCCCCAATGCCTAACATAGTACCTTGGACAGAATAGACACAAAATATATAGTTATTGATTCAATTATTAAACTTTTGCTTGGAAATAAAAAGTCTGCATACAACAACACATTAAATCAGTTGGCAAAATCATGGTTTTGTTTTTTTTTTTACTTTGTATTTCTTGGTGTTTACTGAATTTCCTGTACTGAGCACATATCACTTCTTTAGTTGAAATATGTGTGTGTTTGTGTCATGAAGAATACTTTTTTTTTAATAGTAACAACATTAAGGAGCTGAAAATAGATATATGTTTCTGCCCATTATATCATACTGCTGCGGTTTGCCTTGGCTTAGCAGTCATTTCAAAATAATTGAATTTCGTTTACAAAAAGAGATTTTAGAAAGTTTACATAAAGACTTCGGTCAGGTCAATAGAAAACCACACAAAAATATTTTGTAAATGGCTATTCAAGATTTTTGTGTAATTTATTTCCACTTGCTTCTTAGAATCTAGGGGCTTGATTGAAAGAATGGCTTTGATTCTGTGAGGTTAGTATTTACAAAAATAATTGGGTTATCTTACATGCCTGAAGCTTTCTTAATGATACACCATTGTGTTAAAAAAGAACAGAATAAACAGACACACAAGAAACACAATGCATATTTTCCAACATACAAACACTGTGTTCTTGGACCCACTTGTTTTTAAATAGTCAATTTTCTAACTAAATGATGAAAAGATGAAAAAAGAAAACCACATTGCCTTAGTGCCAGCAGCAGAAAGGTGAATTGAAGCAGCCATAACCTTCTTGCTATGCGGGTCATGATACTGAATGGTCCCAAACAAGAAAAAGAAAAACGTTACTGGAAGGATCGCTGGTCTAGTCTGGGCACATTTTATCACCACCCTTATTTTGACCATATGTGGTGAGTATGGAACACACTCACACATGACAAATCCATATTTAACCTGCCTGTTATATTTCCCACTATATTTTTCATCTTCTGGCAAGGAGATTCTATACCTTATTTGCGTCCTATCTATAGTAAGTCCTGGATAAATGGTTCGGATTTGAATCTGTTTCAGATGTTGATCGTTTATAGAACTTGCTGGCAAAATTCTCCCCTTCCTTAAACTTGGAACTGGAACTGGTTAGAACTGAAGTTGCTTGAAATTCTATTTTCTCATTGTTCTCTATAACGACTTGGAACTGCTGTGAACTGTGTCCCCGTTAGGTGAATCAGATGAAGGAGTTGAAGAGGGTAAGAACTCCAGTTCTTGGAACTTTAGTCATACGAGTTGCTCTGCACTTACATACTGTGCTATTCTGTTTTGAACTTATAAACCACAGACACCATCTTTATTGTATTAGTAGAATAAAAGTGAAGAGTTTTCTTCTATGTGTTGATTTCTACTGCTTGAGAATAATTTCATTTCAAAAATGAAAAATCTAATGCTGCTGGCAACGTTTTAGATGCTTCTCTTTCATTTTAATTGTTCCCTGTGATTTCCTTCAAAATAATAATTAGCATAAATTATTTTGAGTACCTAGTATAAATTTGATCATCTAACATGGGTTTAGCTTCTCACACATAAAAAAGATGAAGGCATTAAGGATTATATTTACTAATACAGAAAATGAGCTCAGAGAGTTGAGGTAACTTACTTAAGGTCATATGCTTAGTTTAAAGTCAAACCCAGTTCCTCTGACTCCAAAAACCATAATTTTTTTTATTACTTTACACTGGAGTTTTTTAAAGATTAAGCAATACTTACTACCTTAGGTAAGAATATTGTCAATATCAATTTTCATCACAGTTTTAGTTGAAATCCTCAAATCATAAAAGCTATTGTGCACAGCCTGTCACAATATATCAGTCATCTAAGCTCTGTTATTAACTATTTTATCTGATCCTTATCAGAGAGATTGGGCAAAGTCTCATCAATCCCAAACTCTCTTACACTAGAAGTTGCACTGATTCAAAGGAATAAGATGATACCCAGTTCAACTCCTTACAAGAAACCAGGAGCAGATGTGTGCTCCTACCTGGGTGGCACCTCTGTCTTTTTCCTGATGGGGATTATTCTGATACTTGATGAGCAGATTCATCTGCACTTAGTGGGCAACATAAAATGAAAAAGAGAGTTAAAAGCCTCTAGTTCAGGGGTAGCTGAGGTTTCACCTAAGGGAAACAATTTTCAATCTATGACAAGTCTGAACTTTCCTCTCTGAACTAAGTACTCTAGAAACTTGACCGGTGTCCTTACAAGGCCTGACAATTAAGCTCACGAACTTGCCATCGTGCTCTTACATTGGCAGCACTGTACAAACAATTCAATAAGGTTTTATAACCTTGGTATATCAGTGTCTCACAGTTTTGCTCGTGTCGGTGTGTGGTGCTGTCTTGCTGAATGGCATTCATTATTGTTGCATGTTTTCATGTGCTGTTGTGAGAATGTTGGAGCTTGAGTTAGAACAATGAATAGACATTAAATTTCTTGCTAAAATTGGCAAGAGAGGAAGCGGAATAGGGTTATGTTAGTTCAAGTTTGTGGGGATAATCCATGAAGAAAATGGCAGTGCACAAATGGATTACACGTTTATCTGAGGGGACAGAAAACGTCACTGAAAAAGAGAAGTCAGGACGGCCAGTAATGGGCAGAGCTGACAAAAACATTGCAAAAACTTCTCAAATTGTGCATCAAAATTGTCTGCTGTGAGAAGCATAGCAGAACAAATAAGCATTGACAGAGAAACAGTTAGGAAAATTTTAGCAAAAGATCTTGGCATGAGAAAGGTGTGTGCAAAAATGGTCCCAAAGTAGTACTTGCATCACGACAATGCACCACCTCACACAGCACTGTGTGAGGAAGTTTTTAGCCAGTAAAAAAATAACTCTATTGGAACACCCTCCCTACTCACCTAATCTGGCCCCCAGTGACTTTTTTCATTACCTAAAGATAAAGGAAATATTGAAAAAAAGACATTTTGATGATATTCAGGACATCAAGGATAATATGATGACAGCTCTGATGGCCATTCCAGAAAAAGAGTTCCAAAATTGCTTTGACAGGTGGACTAGGTGCTGACATTGATGTACAATTTCCCAAGGGGAGTACTTTAAATGTGACTGTAGTGATATTCAGCTATGAGATATGTTAACACTTTTTTCTAGGATGAGTTTGCGAACTTAATAGTCACACTTCATATAATATCTGTTCAGTCCATCCCCCATTCTTATGTGTTTGACCCGTTGTGTTGACCATAGTTCTCAGACTATCACTGGAGTAGCTTTCTCACCTAGTTACTCCACCACAGTGAGCCTCTTGTACCTTTTGTAAGGTAGTGTGAGCTCTGGGGAGATTGTGAAAAGGGTCAAATGGCAAGGTTTTGCCCTGGCTTAAGTCTTTAATATTTTCCATATGAAACTAAATGAGCAGATGACTGCTGTTCAACATATTAGGTGACACCTCAGGAAATCATACCTACAAGCTTAAAGGGCTTAGCCAGCACAGGTGAGTCTAGCAGTTTCTGATGAAACTTTTAAAATAGATTTTTCTAGGATGGAGCAGTTTTCAGAATAGAAAGTCCCTTTACAGGCCTGGCTCCCCCAAGGAGATGGACACCATTTTTATTCTCTTAGATATTTTCCAGGACTGGGCACAGTATGGGACATTCAGTAGGTGATAATTAGAGGTTTTTATTGAATAAAAAAGTATACATGAGTTTTCATATTTCAGGAGGGTCACACATCTAGATTTTTTTGCTTTGCATTTGCTGTTGTTCACTTCTCTTCTTAGTGGTTTGATATGGAAATTCTATTTTCTTTTTTCTTTTTTTTTTGAGTTGAAGTCTCACTCGATCACCCAGACTGGAGTGCAGTG